TTGACCGCATTTTGAAACGGGCATAAAAAATTCAAAAAAAATCAAAAAGTTGGGAAACCTTCACATTGTGTCATTATATGTGGCCAAGTTCCCAGGAAAATAACAAACTTGTAATACGACAATTATTTTAAAAAAGTGTTCTCAGAAACGAGCTATCACGTATGGAGATGAATGGCTTTCAAGCCAAATGATCAATCTTATGGCCACATTCATGGCATAGTTTATTCAAATGATCTCATATTGTGCACAAGGGTGCATATTGGAATCGCAAACAATGTTGCCTAAGGAAGTTTTCATTTTCTTTGGACGAAAAAACCATTTTCCATTTTTTTCGGGTGCCCAAAAGGAGGTTTTTTTGTGAAGGACCTCCCAAATAATTGTTGGAAAATTGGACCAAATCATTTTTCTAAAATAATAGGACATATTTAATGCATAAGTGACCAAATGGTTGGATGTAAAAAGTTTTGAATCACCTCTCGTGAAAAAGACAAATTTCCGCCGATTCAGCTTGAAGCGGGTCAAATTTGAACTGCAGCTGCCTCATAGATTGCTATTTATTTTTTCCAAAAATCATCTAGTTACATATGTACCTATTTAATCATAAATACATGGTTTGGTGGCGATATGTCGAGCTTTGGGCGGTGGCCAAGGGCCCCAACTCTAGAGCGCGTAAACTCGCATGCCCGCCGCGTGGTCACCACGTGACCGTGGCGTTGCCATGTGTTCTGGGTGGCCTAGGCATGTCTAGTGGGTTGGGCACTCCCCAGGTAGGTGCTAGGAAGAAAATTATAACATAAGATTCTCACGAGGAGACCGATTGAGGCTCAAACATGAATTAGCAGCCAAGTGTTTGATTAGCGGTATGGGAAATATAAATGGCTAATGGGCATGAGTTTTGGCTGAGGATGATCAGTTACTAAGAAGACCGTCTTCAAAAAATTTCAGCTCAAAAGGAGGAGCCTAGGTGGTACTTGCTTTGCAAAGTACCACACTAGACATAAATACGAATGTTGAAGCCGGGCTCAAAATAATGAATGGATTGAGCTGGCATTTGGTGGAGGATGGTTATTTGGGCATAGGAAAGCACTGTAGAAAATGGACACTATTTGGACATGCCAAAGTGGTACTTCCTTCACAAAGTGCTGCTTTGAACACAATAGGAAAATGAATATTGTTGAATTATTTTGAACTAGGCAAGGAAGGTTTTTGACATATTTGATGAAGATATGATCCAAACAATTTATGAGAATTTTTTGGGAATTTTTGGAATAACAGAAATATAGGTTGCTTCACAACCTAGGGCAAAAATTGACACATGGACATGACACATAGGCAAAACTGCTGAGATGGCGCCTAGTCATAGCAACCCACCATAATTTACAAGGCTATGACCATCTATATTGGTCGTTAACAACTAGAAATAAGGCAGCGGACTAGCGTTGTTTGCTTTATGACCATTTCGTGTAAGGAAATTACGACCTTTCTGACCAAAATGGTTGCAATGGTTTAGGGTTTGGAGCCCCCCGATCAGCTTTTGACCAATTGGTCTCAAATGGTCATAGATATATGACCAATTCTTCCAGGGTCACTGGCAGAAGGTCACCAGTTGACATATTTCTTGTAGTGAATACATATTCCTTTGACTATGAGATCATGCAACTCTCGGATATCGGAGGAATAACTTGTGTGCTATCAAACGTCACAACATAAATGGTGATCATAAAGATGCTCTACAAGTATCTCTGAAGGTGTCTGTTGAGTTGGCATGGATCGAGATTAGGATTTGCCACTCCGTGTATTGGAGAGGTATCTCTGCGCACTCTCGGTAATACACATCACAAGAAGCCTTGCAAGCAAATTGACTAAGGAGTTAGTTAAAAGATGATGTATTACAGAACGAGTAAAGAGACTTGCCGGTAATGAGATTGAACTAGGTATGAAGATATCGACGACCGAATCTCGGGCAAGTAACGTACCGACAGACAAAGGGAATTACGTTGTTGTCATAAGGTTCGACCGATAAAGACCTTCGCAGACTATGTAGGAACCAACATGGGCATACAGGTTCCGCTATTGCTTATTGTCTGGAGAGGTGTCTCGGTCATGTCTACATAGTTCTCGAACCTGTAGGGTCCGCACGCTTAATGTTCGTTGATGATATCGTGTTATATGAGTTTTATGTTTGGTGACTGAATATTGTTCGGAGTCCCGGATGACATCACGAACACGATGAGGAGATCCAGAATGGTCCGGAGGTAAAGATTGACATATAGGACGATACTATTCGGACACTGAAAGAGTTTCAGAGTGCAGCGGGTAATCATCGAATCACCGGAAGGGGTTCCGGACACCCTCGGGAAGTCTATGGACCTAATGGGCCAATGGGAGAGACACACCAGCCCACAAGGGGGCTGGCGCACCGCTCTCCCTGGCCGCCAGCCCTAGGGGGAGGAAAGGGGGAGGGCTGGCCCCTCCTGCCTTTCCCTCCTCATGAGAGAAAGAAAGGGGGGCACCACCCCCTGCCTTCCTCCCGCACTCAAACATGGAAGGGGGCACAGCTAGGGGCAGGATCCCAAGTGGGATTCAGCCCCACTTGGGGCACCTCCTGGCTGCCTCCCCTCTCCCCCGCCTATATATATGTGGGAGGGGGCGCCACACATAACCACAACAATCTCTTAGCCGTGTGCGGCGCCCCTCTCCACAGTTTCGTCCCTCGGTCATATTTTCGTAGTGCTTAGGTGAAGCCCCGCGGAGATAGCATCACCACCACCATCACCATGCTGTCATGCTGCCGGAACTCATCTACTACTTCACCCATCTTGGTGGATCAAGAAGGCGAGGACGACACCGAGTTGAACATGTGATGAACGCGAGGTGTCGTACGTTCGGTACTCGATCGGTTGGATCACAAAGAAGTTCGAATACATCAACCGCGTTACTAAACGCTTCCGCTTACGGTCTATGAGGGTATACGTAGACACACTCTCCCCTCTCGTTGCTATGCATCTCCATGGATAGAGCTTGTGTGTGCGTAGATTCTTTTTTCATGCAACATTTCCCAGCAGTTTAGTCGATGAATCATGCAAACCTTTTTGTATTGTCCTTTTTTCTTTTTCTTTGCGTTGATGCAATTTTTTCCTTTCAAAGCTTCTTAGAGTTACTAGTGATGTTTAGTTTTTATGACTGCGTCCATGTTCTGTTCATTTTTGAAATTTCTGACATGGTATCTTCTCCTTTCCTTGCAATAGATTAGTGATTTCTGCCTACAAGGAAGAGTGTAATAGTGCACTAACTAGTTTTGTATGGATTTCGTGATTCATGTTATGGTCAATGCTCATGTGGTGTTATATCTGAAGAAATTTGTGGACAAAGACAACATGGGTCCAGTTGAACCTCGACGCCAATGACTCCATAGCATGGTCCTGGGCAAAGGACGGGCGTTTCTCGACAAGATCAGCGTACGCATCAAGGGTCTGGGACAGGAAGGTGGTACAAACAACGCAATTCACTTGGGGATCAAGAGCTCCACTTCGATGTCATTTCTTCGCTTCGCTCGCCCTTTAGAACAGGTGCCTGACCTCCGACCGGCTGGCCCAACGCGGATTGGACCATTTGGAGCAATGCCCTTTTTGCAATCAAGAGGAAGAAACCATAAACCACTGGCTACTGGACCGTGTGTTTGCCAAAGAAGATTGGATGGCAGTTTCTGTTGCCGCGGGCAAGCCGGATTGGGCATCAAGGAGGGGTGAAAACATTGCACAATGGTGTGCCGTGAAGGGTTGATCAGGAAGAACATGGAAGGATACTAGGACAGTCTCAACCCTCGTGCTCTAGGAGTTGTCGAAGCATCGCAATGCCATTGTGTTTGATGGCGCATCCCATTCCATGAGCCACATTATACTCAACATACTGGCCGAGGGTACACCGTGGAAGCAAGCGGGAATGCTCAAGGAAGACGTTAGCACTTTCTTTGGAAGTTAGCAGAGTAGGCTAGGACAGTTAGTTAGCCTAGTTGTCCGTGGGGTGGAGTTGGTGTTCATGTTGTAATACTCACTCCGTCCGAAAACACTTGTCATAAAAATGGATGTATTTAGACGCATTTTAGTTCTAGATACATCCACTTTTATTCATTTCTGCGACAAGTAATTCCGGACGGAGAGAGTATATAACATCAACGTGGAGGGACTCTTTAATCCCGTTCCCTTGTTTAATGTATAGTACGTACACTCGTGAGTATTTGAGAAAAAAAAGATCTGAAGAAATCAAGACATCTTCTGGGAAATACCCTTTGGTTCCTGGGTGTATATACACATCATATGGAAAAACATTAATAGCTTAAATAAGTCAAAAAAGTTTGCAAGTTTGTATTACAATAAACTTGATTTTCATTTGCATTAGTATATAAATTTTCACGAATAGAAAACTAGTGTTCACTTCAGGGTCCAATTTTTTTATTTGCTATTATAGTTCACTGTTCACCCTATTTCGACCGAATTTGTTGTCTTTTTTGAAAAGATGTATTTTTTTCTTTTTATGGATTTTTTAGCAATACAATGAAAGGAGTTTATTTCAAAACTATTTTAAGAATTTGTTGACATTTTATTGAAGTACTAATTACTTTTCATATAGGGTGTATATACACCCATAGACCAAAAGTTCCCCTCCGGCATCTTCCTCTCTTGGTTCCATGTTTAGCTATATCTCCCATGATTTGCAAGTTTTCTTGCTGGGCTCTGTGATCTAGAAGTTGATTCACTGTTCCTGCTGCTTTGTGTCAAATGAATTTAGGTTTTTTAATAACAAAACAATATTCTTTTGTATATATTAAATTTATTATAGATTACAAAAAATATAGAATTTCTTAGAACAAAGTATAATGTAACATAGTTACACTATAAACAAAAAAAAACATTCTATTTCAGCGGAGACTTTTACAGAATAATAACAAAAAATGACCAACATGAACAGAGAAAAAAAAAGATGATGGGAAATTGCAGCGACTATGCAACGACAGGGACGATCCACCAGGATTTCCGGAGACCCACGACATTCTCAAACTGCTTGACAATTTCTGATGAGCCGTCCTTCAGGCCGAAGACATGCAGATCACTGTTCTCTGAGCTGAGGCAATTCAACCAGTAGACGCAGTTGGGCTTGAGTCCACATCCGCTGGCAGAGCAGGACGCTGCAAAATTGGATTTACCGAGGATGAAATCCCGATCCCCGATGCAGTCCGTCTTGCGCCAAGCCGGCGGCTCCGAGAAATCCATCCGATAGACGCGGAGCTCCCCTGGTCGGTCGACGAATAATCCGTGGAAGGCGATATGGACGAGGAACAGGTCGTTGCAGGACTCGACGACGTACGTGGCCGTAAAGCCCGTCGGGACGTGGACGCAGGGCACGGCGATGGCGCCCAGCCGCACCTCCGGCTTCTCCGAGGCGTCGTTGGCGTGGAAGTCGAGCGTGCCGAGAGAGTCATTGGACTCGCAGAAGAAGAACCTCCCATTAACGGCGGCAACGTCGACGAAGTGTCTCTTTGTGGGAGGAGAGCCCGCGATGTCCAAGCAGCCAATGTCGTAGCCGTGACGCGACCACCGGAGATCCTGGCCGACGCGGCAGAACCACATCACCGGGCTCGCATGGTCGAAGACTAGGACGCTGCTGTTGAGTTGTGTTGTAATGGGTTGTTATGCATGCCCACGTGTATAGGATCGAGGGCCTGCGTGCCTCCTGACTCGGGCAATGCCCTGTGTATAAATACCATTTATGTAACACATAATCATTAACGGAGAGAGTGAATTGATTCTCCTACTTGGTATCAGTTACCAGGTCCCCCTCTTCGTCGCCATGGTTGCGCCCGGCTCCTCCCCTACCGCCACCGACGCCGCGTCCTCGCCGAGCTCGCTCTCCTCCACGGCGACTGCTCCTGCAACCTCCCCCGGCACCTCCCCGTTCCTCTTCTCCGGCGCCTCTGGTAGCACCGGCCCCTCTCAGTTCGCCCCCCTCTTCTCCTCCTCCAACCCTGCGCCGCCACCACCAGCTCCGCGCCACCCGATCTTCTTCGATCACATCACAAACCACATCAAGTTTCTGCTCAATCCGGCCGACCACAACTATCATAAGTGGAAATCCTTCTTCCTGCTCGTCCTTGTCCGCTATGGCGTCACTTTCCTCATCGAACACCCTCCTCCACCCAACGCCGACGCCCAATACCTGGAGCTGGATGCCCATGTGGTGCTCTGGATCTACGCCACCCTCGCCGATCCCCTCATCGATCACGTCGTCGGCGCCACCACCACGTACGCCCTCTGGACCAAGATCCAGGCCTTCTTCCTCGCCAATCGGGCTGCACGCTTCATGGTGCTCAATCGCCAGTACCGCAATCTGAAACAAGGCGATCTCTCCGTCACCGAGTACGCCCGTCGCCTGAAGCTCCTCACCGACGGCCTCGCCGACATCGATCACGCCGTCAAGGAGGTGGATCTTACCACCCAATTCCTCCACGGCCTCGACAAGCGCCTCGACACCATCCACGTCGTCCTCGGCGATCAGGCCTCCACCATGCCGCTCCCTCTGCATCGACCTGGATGGGTGCCGCCCAACTCCGCCGGGGTTCTCGGCCCCCGCCCCGGCTCCCATGCCCATGCCTACCCGATGTACCACTCGGCGCCTCCACCGTCCTCCTCGTACTACCCTCCACCGCCACCATCATGGGAGCACCTCGCCATGTTGAATGCCGCCTACAACAACGACGGCCTGCCCCAACCTCCCTCGACAGACTAGTACCTCGACAGCGGCGCTTCCTCCCACATCACCGGCAACCCAGGTACCCTTACCTCGTCTAGTTCTTCCTTAAAGCATGTTCCATCAAGCATTCTTGTCGGCAATGGCCAACACATACCGGTCACGGCCACCGGCTCCGTCGCCCTACCCCCACACGACTTCCGCCTCACCAACGTTCTTGTTTCCCCACACGTAGTCACTAGCCTCATCTCCATTCGCAAGTTCACTAAAGAAAATTCTTGTTCAGTTGAGTTTTACCCTTGTGGCTTTCTTGTGAAGGATCTTCGAACGCGGCGGGTCCTCATGATCTCCATTAGCAACGGCGACCTCTACCCTTTTGTTGGAAATAAAGCTTCTTCGGTGTCCGCCCTTCTTGCCACGGCATCATCAGACTTGTGGCATCGCCGGCTCGGCCACCCCGGTGCTCATACTCTATCTACATTAGCCCAAACAGTTCTTCCAGATTGTAATAATGCGGCTCATCAGCCTTGTGCTGCTTGTCAGCTCGGCCGACAGGCTCGCCTTCCCTTTCCCTCTTCTTTTAGCAAGTCGTATGCACCATTTGATCTCATACACTGTGATTTGTGGACCTCGCCGGTTGTAAGTTTTTCTGGTTATCAATACTATCTCATTGTGTTGGATGACTATACGCACTACTCCTGGTCCTTCCCTCTACGCAACAAATCAGACACGTCCACCACTCTCCAACGCTTCTTCTCATTTGTGCGCACACAATACAACGTCATGATTAAGGCCATGCAATGTGATAACGGGGGTGAGTTCATCAACAACTCCCTCCGATCGTTTTTCTCCCTCCACGGCGTCACTTATCGTTTCTCCTGCCCACACACGTCGCCTCAAAATGGCAAGGCCGAATGCCTCCTTCGTACCACAAATGACATCGTGTGTACACTCATTTTTCAAGCAAATCTCACCCCTCCCTTTTGGGTAGAAGCACTTTATACCGCTACATACTTGCTAAACCGACGCCCCTCCATATTTCCTCCTTCACGGCTCCCACCCCACCTATGACCACCTACGGGTCTTCGGTTGCTTATGCTTCCCTAATACATCCTCCACCATGGCCCACAAGCTCTCCCCTTGCTCCGTCCGCTGCGTTTTCTTAGGATATCCCCTCGAGCATAAAGGTTATAGGTGCTTTGATCTGGAATCGCGCCGTGTCCTAGTCTCTCGCCATGTCATTTTTGACGAAACCACATTCCCATACACCACGCCACCCGCCAGCACGTCCACAGAAGATCCCGCACGCCGTATCCTACCTACCCCCTCCCTGGCTGTCGCAGCCTCCTCGGATCATGTAACAAATCCGCCAGATTCGCCGGACCCCACCACACCATGCACGCCCGTGCGCGCGCGTCGCGATGCGCCCGCGTCCCCTGGCCCCTCCACGCGCCCTCTTCCCACATGTCGCTCGCACGGGTCCACCACCACCGCGGATAGCGCGTCCCCCCCACCCAATCGCCGCCCGCATCTACCGCGCCTGCCAGCCCCACTGCACCCGAATCCTCCTCGCTCCGTGAGCCCTGTCGATCGGATCAGCCTGCCACCAGCCCCACCACATCTTCCTCGGGATTGCCGCCCCCATGCACTACGCCACCGCACGTACCACCTCGCGCCTTACCCGTTGCACCACCTCACAATGCACACAAAATGTCCACTCGTGCCAAATCTGGATTCTGCATGCCTCGTCGCGTTTTCCTAGCCGACACCTCCTCCACTACCATCTCCCCTATACCACCCACTTACAAATCCGCCCTTAAGGATCCAAATTGGCGACAAGCTATGCTCGATGAATACACTGCTTTAATGAATAACTCTACGTGGTCTTTGGTGCCTAAGCCTGCAGGTGTTAATGTGGTCACGGGGAAGTGGATCTACCGTCACAAATTCAACGTGGACGGCTCTTTAGCCCGGTACAAAGCTCGATGGGTGCTGCGAGGTTTCACACAACGAGAGGGTGTTGACTACGACGAGATGTTCAGCCCGGTGGTCAAGCCGGCTACCATTCGTGTGGTGTTGAGCATTGCAACATCTCACTCTTGGCCCATCCACCAAATGGACGTCAAGAACGCATTTCTTCATGGTGATCTCAACGAGCTCGTATACTGCTCCCAACCCGCTGGTTTTGTCGACACCACCCGTCCGGATCATGTTTGTCGCCTCAACAAGTCTCTCTACGGCCTCAAGCAAGCCCCTCGCACGTGGTTTCTTCGTTTTCGGGCATTCCTTCTTTCTCTTGGTTTTCATGGCTCCAAGAGTGACACCTCCTTATTCATCCTCCATCACGGCACCTCCATCGCCTACTTGCTTGTGTATGTCGACGATATCATTCTCACCGCCAGCTCTCCACAAACACTCCACCACATTATGTCGGCTCTCAAATCTGAGTTCGCCATGACCGACATGGGCCCCCTCCACCATTTCCTCGGCATCAAGGTCACCACCACCTCCTCGGGGATGTTCCTCAGTCAGCAACAGTACACCTTGGAGGTTCTTGAGCGTGCCAACATGTTACATTGCAAGCCCGTCTCTACTCCCATTGACACGAGCTCCAAGCTGTCCCTCTCTCATGGTCAGCTCCTCTCCAACCCCACCTACTATCGTAGACTTGCAGGTGCCCTTCAGTATCTCACCCTGACACGGCCGGACATTTCTTATGCCGTCCAACAAGTGTGTCTCTTCATGCATGAACCTCGTGACACGCATATGCAGCTCGTCAAACGCATTCTGAGATACCTCCAAGGCACTTCCCACTATGGCTTGCAATTCTACAAGTCATCCTCCAAGGACCTTATTGCATACACGGATGCCGATTGGGCCGGTTGCCCTGAAACGAGGAAATCCACGTCTGGTTTCTGTGTCTTCCTTGGTTCCAACCTCATTTCTTGGTCCTCCAAACGACAGGCCACTGTCTCTCGCTCAAGCGCGGAGGCCGAGTATCGTGGTGTTGCCAACTGCGTTGCCGAGTCCTGCTGGTTACGCCAACTCCTCCATGAACTCAAGTGTCCACCACAGCGAGCCACCATCATTTATTGTGACAACATCAGCGCGTCCTACCTCGCGCGCAATCCGGTTCAGCATCAACCAGGGCCGGCCCTGGGGCATGGGCGACGGGGCGACGGCCCAGGGCCCAGCCGAGGGGGGGCACATGATGGAGTATACATATACTATACAGGCCTTTGTCTCAAAAAAAAATTATACTATACAGGCCTGTCGCTGATGTGCTGGGCGGCCCAGATATAGCTAGCGATCGCTGATCAGGCCTGTCGCTGAATCGCTGATGGATACGTACGCGTAGGCGGAGCCTAAACGGCGCCTTGACTCACGCCCGTCGGCCTTCTCGCTCGATCCGTCGCTCGGCGCCTTGCCTTGCCGCGTCGCCCTGCCCTCGCCTCGCCAGCTTGCCGTCGCCGCCACAGCAGTCCGGCAGGCAGGCGGCAGCCCGGCCAATCAGCCATCCGGCATCCGGCACCGACTGGAAGTCAAGAAGTCAAGAAGTACGGCAATACGGCAAGAAGTACGCATCCCTGTCCATCCCCAAACCTCAATTTGACAATCTCAGTAGCAGGTTATTTATTCTTTATTTAGTATGTACGCATTGTAATCCAATCTATCAATTTTTTGTCATTCTATGTACATGTATAGGGTTCCAATCATCCGATGTATAAATTCTTAATTCTTTGTACCTTCTTTTGATCTTTTCTTCATGATTTTAGGACATTAGCCTGCCATGTTACCTAAGAAGAAGCAATTGTCGGGTGCTGAAAAAAGGAGGAAAAAGAAAGAAAGTGATCTAAAAATTCTAGCACTGAAGGGTTCTTTGAATAACTTCTTTACATCTTCAAGCAATATTGATGTCAGTGAAGAACAAGGGCAAGAAACTACTTCTGAGCATGCAAATCCAGATGTTGAGGTGAATGAAGATGGTGCGAGCACAGGGGAGCAAATAAATTTTGAAGTTGATGCTGACAGTACAATGGAGGAGGAAAATTTGCAGCCTTCCTCTAATGATGAACAGGAAGATTCCCTTTCATTTATTTTTGATCCAAGAACATGGGAAGGTCTTGACAATAGCAAAAGGGATATTTTAATTGAGAAGGGACCTATTAGAGTACCGGATCTGGAGTTCGAGAAAGACACCATTGGTAGACACTTTTCATATGCTTTTTACTCCAGGAAGTTAAGTAATGGTGAGTTTGTTGACAGAAAGTGGTTGGTTTACCACAAAGGTGCAAACAAAGTATATTGTTTTTGTTGCAAGTTGTTCAAATCAAAACTGAGCAAGTCTATGCTGGCATCTGATGGATTGAATGACTGGAAGCGTTTGAGTGCGCGTCTCAAAGATCATGAGAACATTGTTGATCATTTAACAAACATGAATACATGGAATGAAGTTAGGTTGAGATTAAGCAAAAATCAGACAATTGATGACGATATGCAAAGGGGGATTGCAAAGGAGAAGGAGCGTTGGAGACAAGTTCTGGTAAGAATAGTTTCAGCTGTGAAGTTTCTTGCAAAACATACTTTGGCTTTTCGTGGATCAAATGAGAAGTTGTATCAAGATAACAATGGTAATTTTTTGGGCACGATTGAAATGATTGCTGAATTTGATCCTGTTATGCAAGAACACATCCGGCGTATTCAAAATAGTGAAATCCATCATCACTATCTTGGCCACAAAATCCAGAACGAGTTGATCTCAGTTCTTGCTAATGCCGTGAGAAATGTAATTTTAAAGATCATCAAAGATGCCAAGTATTTTTCAGTTATTCTGGATTGTACCCCGGATGTGAGCCATGAAGAACAAATGACTCTCATTGTGCGTTGTGTCAATATGTCAAGCAACCTTCCGAGAGTGGAGGAGTTTTTCCTAGAGTTCCTAAAGGTTGAGGACACATCGGGGTTGGGGCTTTTGAAGGTATTGATGGATACATTGAGTTCTTTTGATTTGAATGCTGCTGATGTGAGAGGTCAAGGTTATGACAATGGTTCCAACATGAAAGGACAATACCAAGGTGTTCAGAGTCGCTTCCTTAAAGAAAACCCCAAAACATTGTATATGCCATGTGCATGTCATAGTTTGAATCTCACTCTTTGTGATATGGCAAAATCTTGCAAACAGGCTATTACATTCTTTGGTATTATACAACGGATATACGTGTTGTTTTCACGTTCTACTAAAAGGTGGAAGATCTTACTTGACAGTCTCCCAAAAGGAACAAAACTAACTCTCAAGCCTTTGTCCAGTACTCGTTGGGAGAGTCGAATAAAGAGTGTGCAGCCTATCAGGTACCAAGCTATCCATGTAATTTCAGCTTTGAAGGAATTGGAGGAGACTTCTACTGATGACCCAGCAGCTGTAAGTGATGCTCAATCTTTGGTCAGTGCACTTGAGAATTTTGAAACTTTAGTTGGCATGGTTATCTGGCATGATGTTTTGTTCTCTGTAAATATGGTGAGCCAAAAGTTGCAGGAAAAGATGGTGTGCATTGATGCTACTATAAAACACATTGACGGGGTCATATTATATTTTAAGAAGTATAGAGATGAAGGCTTTCAAGCTAGTATTGAGATAGCAAAAGCCATTGCATCTGATATGGACATAGAGCCAGAATTTCCTTCAAAACGTCAACGGAAAAGAAAGAGGCATCATGATGAAATCAATGATCAAGAAGAAGAAATACAATTGTCAGCTATGGAATCCTTCAGAGTTAATTACTTTCTAGTCATTGTTAACAATGCAATTCTTTCATTGACCAGCCGCTTTGATCAGTTGAAGAAATTTGAAAAGGTGTTTGGTTTCTTATTCAATTCAAAAAATCTGAAGTCCTTGGATGATAGCAAACTACACGAATGTTGCGCTACTTTTGCAAAAGCTTTTTCTGATGATAAATCATCTAATGTTGATCTTCATGATTTTGTCTCAGAGTTAAAAGTGTTGCAGGTAACTTTGCCAGATGGTTTGATGTCAGCGCTTGAGATTCTTCAGTTTGTTATGGCTGTAGATTGCTATCCAAATGTCTCTGTTGCCTATCGGATCCTCTTAACAGTGCCTGTGACTGTAGCCTCAGCTGAAAGAAGTTTCTCTAAACTGAAACTACTGAAAAATTATTTGAGGTCAACTATGTTGCAAGATAGATTGAATGGCCTGGCTATGTGCTGCATTGAGAAGGATATCTTGGACAATGTTGATCTTGATTGTGCCCTTAATGACTTCGCATCACGAAATGCCCGAAGAAACTTTTTTTAAAGCACTAAAGTATTATTGTTGTCGATGGAGTCAGTCTAATTTCGTTCTTATTTGAGGTAATCATGTCATATTACTTTCATTTTGCGATCTTTTTAGTACCATTGTTTTTTATGGAGTCGGTTCAAATTTGGTTATTATTGTTCTCGATGGAGTCATTTGAATTATTATACTCATACTTAAAACTAAAGATGTGTGATTGAAAGTTACTTCTTATAATAAGTTATATATATAACACACGCATACATATATATTGTCTTAGGACTTAGGACATAGGGGCCCATGTCGTCGAGTTCGCCTAGGGCCTCCCGAAACACAGGGCCGGCCCTGGCATCAACGTACCAAACACATCGAGATAGACCTTCATTTTGTATGTGATCGCGTCGCCTTCGGTGATGTACGGGTCTTGCACGTCCCCTCGAGCTCCCAATTTGCTGATTTGTTCACAAAAAGCTTGCCATCTCCGGTGTTCCACGAGTTCCGGTCCAGCCTCAACGTCCATGCCAATGGCGTTCCGGCTGAGGGGGGTGTTGAGTTGTGTTGTAATGGGTTGTTATGCATGCCCACGTGTATAGGATCGAGGGCCTGCGTGCCTCATGACTCGGGCAGTACCCTGTGTATAAATACCATTTATGTAACACATAATCATCAACAGAAAGAGTGAATTGATTCTCCTACTGCTGCAGCCAGGCACTACCACGACGTTGGACAAGACGCACCTGCACGTCCACGGGACCTCGTCGTCCTTGAGAGTCGGAAGCTCGATTTTTGATCCGTCCTTAGGGTTCAGGAGATGGGTCCCTGCGTCTTCTGGCGAGGAATCGGAGGAGCTCAGGACCAGGACCCAGCCTTGCGGCGTCGCAAAGCATACCTTCTTAGTCGACACCGACGAAGTTACATCTTGAAGCTTCTGCTCGGGTAAACTGAAGACCTTGTACGACGAACAATCTGAATCTGGCGGCGGCGCAAGCACCAGCAGCGGGAAAGCCGCGGACACGATCGAATTCTCGGCCAAATCCATCGTTGACAAGGCCTCTCTCCTACGAAAGCACAAGGCTTTGCAACCACGGATCTATTGAAACCAGGACCTCGCGTGACATATATATATATACATATACCTCCAGATTGAAAAGAGACGTCTGCTTTCCCTCAAAAAGAAACGGAAAGAGACGTCTGCTTCAAGTCGAAACCGGAATTATCGGGTCCAAATCCGGCAGCTATACGCCTCCAAATTTTTCGGATGCCAAATCTAGGAAGGAATCATGGTTGGAGGCAAAGTCCGCACGGGACTCCCTAATCTCTGTTTTTTCTTTCTTTTTTGATTTGATGATAGGCCAAAATCTCTGTTACCTCACTTGGGTTTAGTCCCCGCTAGAGGCTAACGCGCGCTTCACTGTGCCGTTCTACACTTGCTCAATTAACATTTCATATGCCTTAATGTCGGGCGCTGCACAAAAGGATCAGCTGGGTGAAATGTTTTCAAAAACAGTTTAGTTTGTGAAATAGTTTCGCCCTGAGGTCAAATTTGTGCCTTTTGCCGCGTAGCCCCCTTTGCGCACAGAGCCGTCTTGGCCAACACCACCGTCGTGCCGTGTGCCCCAGCCACACCCCTCCCAGCCTGCGGCGGTAGCGGGCGTCGCTGTCGGTGTTGTCCCTTCACCCTTGTCGTGGTTGACAAGCCATCTCAAAGGCGTCCCTGCCTCACCTCCCTCGTCCTGAGCCGTACAAGCATGAGTTCAGAGGGTCGGCAAGCACCCCGCACAGACGTGCCCAACCACACGGTGACACGCTAGCAGCCGCCCTAATCACACATGCGCCGGCTGCACCGCTAATCTTTCCCCTTTCTGCAATTCAGAGAGATACGGCGCCACGTTTGCCTGGGCACATGTTCCAAAAGCAGTCGCGCCGTTCTTCACTTGTTCAATTAACATTTTATATTTATAGATTATTGTGATTAGTTGTTTTGATTTTATCTGTGTTTGCTTTGTGTTTTAGTTTATTTTTGGTGGTGTTTTTTTTCTATATCGTATTGAGTTGCTGTTGGAGTTTTTTTTTCAAAAGAAGGGAGGAGTTATTTCATGCGTGGGTTATGATTTTTTTGCACATTTTAGCCTTAGTGTTAGCCCGATGGTGATTATTTGAGCCTCTTGGGAGTTCTTATTTCAGGCTAAACCCATGAAATTGCTACAGTGACACTCATATGGCTAGCACACAAAGCTCTTGCTCGCTTAGCTTGGCTCCTTGCTCCTCTCGTCCATTTAGTTTTTTTGCTCGCCCGACTGCTAGCTCAGAAAAATCGCCTATCTTTTTTTATTTGAGAAGGTTATTTAATTAAATGATGTTTAAGGAACTTAAACAATATAATTACTTTTAAAATCATGCATTTTAGAAACATTCATGAATTTAAAATGTATTCATGGTTCAAAAATGTTCTCAATATAAAATGTTTTCAAATGTAAAATATGTTCACAAACTTTAAATGGCCGTGAACTTTAAAAATATCCACAAATTTAATCAATAGTAATGAATTTGAAGAATTTCAAAATATGTTTGTGTCTTTTAAAGTACACAAATTTGAATAAGTGCTCATGAATTAAAATGTGAAAAAATAAAAAATAAAAAGGGAAGAAGAAATAAACTAAACAATACACACTTACACGTGGGGTCCTAGTGACCCCACAACTCTAGAAGCACCAGAGCGCTTCAATTCGAGGGAGCTTAATATCTCTATAAATTGTAATTTTTACGAGAAAACTTCCGATCTCAAGGTCATACAATGAACATCAGGGGTAAAAAATTGCATCCAGATTCTAAACGACTAGAAGCACTCGAGCGAACTGAAGCCAAGCCGCCGTCATCGTCCCTTCCACATCGGATCCAGACAAACATTGTTGTTGTAGACAGTCGGGAAGTCGTCGTGCTAAAACCCCATAGGACCAGCATATCACAACAACAACCGCGCCGATGAAGAAAAGCGTAGATCAGAAGGATCCGACCTACACATAATCAGAGAAACAAAGACCGGATCCAAACGGATCCACCGAAGACAAACACTAACTGAATCCCACGAGATCCACCGAAGACACACCTCCACACGCCCTCCGGCGAGGCTAGAAGCACCCTCCGACGACACGCCCTCCGTTGGATGCGGCCGAGTGCCAGCTCTAACGGGACCGACCGCGCCCCAAACCGCCTCTTATAGGTGAAGCCCGAGCCACTCCGCGCGGGACTCCGCTGCGGGTTTTGGCCCTGGCGTGCAAACCGTGGCAGACTGACATGTCCCTGCTTAATTAGAAGCTACTCACCCTTAATTAACATCCAGAGTCACTGACAGTAGGCCCCAGCCCTGTTAATCCTTGGTTAGGTTTCATTTAACATTTTTCGCCGTTGTGTTAATAACCAAATGGGATCCACTGGCCAGGTTTGACCTTGTTGACTTGCTGATGTAAAGTTGACATGATGCTGATGTCCTGAAGCTTTTCTGGATTTTAAATAAATCTAAAATGATTTATTTATTTTCAGAAATTTTCCCAAGTAATTAATCTTCAAAAGTTCATACAAAATCAATCATAACTCAGAATTAAATAATTTATATATGAAAAATTATCAGAAAAATTGAATCTCTTCATCTGCACATTTTCATGCATGTTAGAGCAATTCACACCTACATTTTAGGTCAAATAAACTAAATGACGTTTTAAATGCTTCATACATCTCGTATTTGGACCTTTGGTTCAATTGGACTTCATTTAACTCTGGGTCTTGTTCTTATCTGCTTGAGAGAACGCATATATTCCCTTTTTATTGCTAAACCTCCACAAGCCTTCCCATACTCGCTAATTGAACTGTCCGTGTGAATTGCATTAGCTCAAACACCTGCATATTGCCATGTCATAATCATGCATCATATTGTTGCACTTGTGTATTGATTTACCCTTTTTCGGTGTTGTTCCCCGTGATAAGACATGTTCCTAAGGGTACGCTCGAGTATCCACTGGAGGAGCAGTATTTCGTTCTCGACCTGCCAGGCAAGCAAACCCCCTTGATCATTTTGATACAATCCCACTCTCTCGCTCTTGCGATCTTTTATTGCATTAGGACAACAACGATTCAACTGTTACTTGTTTTGATAGTTGAACCCATACCTTTACATGACCTATCATTGTTATAGTAAATAGCTAAACCTTACTATCATGATTAGGAGTTGGTTGAGCCATGTTGTGACTGCATCTATGCTATGGTTGTTATGCTTAGAGTTGTGGCAGGTCTGATCCATCTGGGCAATGAATTGGAATGGTCATGTTCATGTCCTAATGATGAGAGTCAAGTGTGTGAACCTAATTAAAAGGTGGCGATGAGAGGCCATGTAGGAGTACATGCATGGTGGGTTGTCTCATTGAAACCGCTCATCAGAACTGAGTTATGTATTTGTGATCCAAGACTAGCTACTACCACACATTGGGTTCCGGTAGCTCAACCCCTCTTAGCTTATTAACGTACCTCGATCTATGTCTAGGAGTTGCAACTAGTTTCTGGTGTTTCTAGGTTGTGCTATTAGTCTTACCAAGCGGACACTACCCAACAGGGTGGGCTAGGGATAGCTACGCACGTGGCAAGGTGTACCAAGTGTAGTACTATCCGGCGAGGTGGGATTGGGAACACTGCACACATCGGTTGGGGTCGTGA